TCTATTCAATCCACAGTTGCTATTCATGGCACTATTTCTCGTTTTGATAAGCAACAGTGGTTCCAGCAGAACCGTTACAGAATGTTTCTTTGCTGTTGTTAATAGTTTTGCTATGGCTGGATCGACATCGTAATCGGTGCTAATCTCGTTGTACTTAGGTCTGGGTGTGAAGAGGGTATCTAGCCTGCGGGCACCGGTCGCTTAGGATAGCATATTTCATACAAGACCTGACTCACAGCTGCTAGTCATGAGTTTAAACCCTTTTGCGTTACTTACCTTTCATGCTACCAAGGTAAATAAATGTTGGCACTTTTTAGGAATGGAAACGGGAGCCTACATTGCTTCTCTAGCCGCGTGATCATGCAAATTTGCATAGAAATCTTTCATTTATAGCTGATGCCATAGAAACAGTGATCAGTGATGTACCGTAAGCTTCATCAAAGAAGATGCCACAATGGAGGTGTACGGCAAACTGATATTGCAGTAATTGCGAAATTCGTTGGTCTGGCGTCGATCTTTTGCTCAGTCTTTTGCATTCATTAAGTCATATTCTTACAGGGCGAGAATTTCGGTTCAGCATTCTTGTATATGTTACTCGTTCATAGCATTTGAAGAATTTGAAAGTGTTTTTGTGACAAGTAAATTATTAGGTATAGGTTTCAACATATTTTTGTCATGCAGTGATAAAATAATGATATTCACACTTTGGAGTTTCATTGCGATATTTGTTCGCTTATTTGTGTCTGTGTAAATAATGTTATTACTTATCATAGGCAACACATATTTATACCCGTTCTGCCGAAGCATTTGTCGCATTATTTACAGTAAGAATTGGTTGAATTGTTTGATTGGCTAAAATAATGGTTTAGTGCTCCGATGCCTTTCATTATCGGCGTTCCGATGTCAGTTCTTGAGGTACGTTTTGTTCGAAACTTGAGCAAAGTACTTTGAATTCGGTTGACTGCAATATCTGCTATCTGTAGGAAGCAAGGAAAGATACCGATTTGAGTGAAGTTGCGATTTTGGACATCGACAGAAAGGATTTTTCGTCACCGTTCGACGAAGTTGCCTGTCTTCCTCAAGATATGGTAAATTTATACGACTGTACTTTTCTTCTTGACGTCTTAAGGTTGAGGACTTTACTTTAAACTGAGTTACTTTAAATGGCTCTCATGCGTCTAGGAGCCTGGCATCGGCACATTACGCTCTGAAATAGTGTTTTGAAGGAACAGTGCTCGTATTAATAGTCTGGCTGATATTTTGTATATGGAGATTACCGACTAAACATTTGTAATAAGCAACACATCTTTAGCCAGTAAATTGATAAAAGAGGTATTTGTATGCACTGCGGGCATTGAAATACCAAAAAACTGTTCCTGATGAAATTGCCCCTTTTGCAAGTGGTGGAACAGTAAGCTGCAAAATCCTGTTTCAGAGAAGTTTCATGCTAATTATCTGCATAATGTCCTAAATAGCTTGATGCTGTTGTGTCTGTTCATTGCTTATTCTGTGAAATTTGTCAGTGTTGTCTGAAGTGCTTGCTGCTCAGTAGAATCTTTCGACTCACATTGTACCTCATTACATCGTTGTATTTCTCGTATCGTTGAATTAGGTAACCTCTTCTTATTCGTCGGTGTTGAATCAGCCTAAGCCGATATGCGCAATTATTGTCTTATTTGGTTCATGTTTAGAACTCATGCGAAAGCAATGAATCAGTGTTTTGGATGGATAACTACGCAGATATTAATAGACCTATGTGTAAATGGGTCAATGAACGTATTAGCAACTCGCTAGACGATGCGTTTCACTAAATCATAGACAGATATCTAAGGTGATAAACAAATGGATGGATAGATGAATAAATACATTGGAACAGATTAGTCACAAAAAGATTTGTAGGTAATTGAATTGGTTTATAGATAGCTTGGTAAATTGACACAGTGACAGATGGATACCCAAATAAGTTGATTTATAGACCAACCGAGAGAAAAATATCGGTGAATATAGGAGATCTGAATGAGTGAACAGATGCGTAAATAATAGGTAGATTAATTTACTGATAGAGGATAGATTGCTGAACAAATTATTTAATGGATAAATTGGCAAGTATATGGCACAATGAGGATGGATAGATTTGATTGATTGATTGATTGACAGGTGAATAAATACATCGGTTGACATGCTGTCGCCACGAAGAGAAAGCCGGTATTTTCTTCAATTTAAAGCATCTGTGACTTAGCGAAAAGACCCTAGCTGTCTCTCTTCTGAAACAACATATTCAACATTGTTCTGAAATAACTGTTCCACAATGAAATATTCCGGCTGAATTATTTGTCTTTCCTTCACGGTCATTACATGGGTGATGAGTAGCGCTAGACGCAATGGAAGTAGTAGTTGTAGATGTTGCCTTCAAAAAACAAGGCAACTCTGACTGATAGAGATGATTATGGAGATCAGTGCCGCTCGCGAGCCCTATGAAAGAATGGTACCAGAAATATCGTCCATTGTACACGTGTGTAAGACTGATTCAGACCTGGACCATTACTGACCTTTCTCAGAGGCTCATGGAAGGTGAGAGTAGTTTACTGTTGTGAATGAAGAGTGGTTTACTTTTCGAGCCTAAAGCCTTGGTGCTCTCATTACTCTCATTTTGTATCATTTGTCTCATACTACTGTTGCTACTTATCTTGGTACTCTACGGTGTTTTTACTTTTTCCCAGATGGCGATCCTGAAAAAAAGTTTACGGTCTAGTCCATTGGTCGGGGATGGCTTGGCTCGATCATTTTTGCGCGCTATAGTCTGTTTAATTGGAGGCTATCGAGAGGCGCTTCAGTTCAGACCAGGCGAATCGATAACCTTCAATCAAGCAGCCTTCCTTCAGACTCGCCCCGCGCATTTTCGAGGATTTCTGGAGAAGATGTTTCATCTGCAAATTTTCCAACAGGTATTTTTTTCTTACGAACGTTGTTTAACCTATATATTTTTTTCATTGATTTTAAACTGTTTGTAGTTTATCGAAGATCGGTTACAAAAGTTGAACTCCGGCGAAGGATTTATGGACGAATTCGAAGATGAATGCGCGATGTATTCCGATAAAAATTTCAACAAGTACAAATATCAATACAACGAATGGATGAAGAACATGAAGGTGCGTGCTTTCACTGTAACTAATGGGTATATTTTTTCTTTAGAAAGAAGGCGGTGCGTTTGTGAAACATATTCGTAGCAAGGTGAATTTTTGTTAATAAGCTAAGAAACTTTTCTATTGGTATATTATTTTGTATTAATTGCTTGTGCGTGTTAATGTCACTGTACAAGCAAAACTTAATGTACATTACTTTCTCATTCTCGCAGAAGAACATAAATATATTAATTACTGGGTTTTGCTTGGCATTCAGCGTACCCTATGAATACTGCCCAGATTTTCAATTAAAAATTCTAATAATTTTCCTGTTCCTGATAATAAATCTGAGCCTTTGATATTTAGTTTATTTAATTATTGTAATAATTTTATTTTTTTTGTTTCAAACAAGAATGAGATTGAGCCATGGTTCTCTGGGTCATATGTTGCAAGTGGTGCTGATTTTCTGACGATGATGGAGTGGACCACACAGTTCAGCATCAACCAATTTAATAAGGAGGCCCTGCTTTCTGCGGGTTTACAGACTTTCTCTGCGTAATGTTTACGTGCCGTCGTCCACTTCTTTGGTTGGTACT